GTGTGTGTGTGTGTGTGTGTGTGTGTGTGTGTGTGTGTGTGTGTGTGTGTGCGTCTGAGTGTGCATTTATGTGTATGTCCTTGTTTCTGACGTTTATGCTCAAATGACTTTCAAGAAGCGCGTGAAAGAAAGCGGGAATCCCGTATGCGTGTTTGGGAGGGAGGGGGGGGCACAAACTCCTTCTTTGCTCAAGTATGTTCCATTGATTAATAAATTTTTTTTTTAAGTTCATGGAATGTTAAAGAGACGGTAAGGAGTGGGTGGTTGGGTGATGGACAGATGAGTGGATAGATGGAGTGGTGGTTGGATGAACGAATGGACGGTTTAAACAGTTTTTAAAAATGTTAGGGGGGAGGGGGTCGAGAGAAAGGGAGTGCCCCCAATGCATACTCGGTTAAACTTTTGCCTGTATAATTATGTTATCTACAATCATTTGTTTCTCCACTGCTGCACTCTCAGAAGTCGGGACGGGAGAATATGGTAAGTCGTTTGGCTTGATGTTGTCAACGTTTTGGTTTCTCCTCATACAACCGTTTAGGTGTTATGTAAGGCTTGTAGGTTGGTTCCTCCTCCTCTCCCTTCAAATTAAATGACTTTACCTTCCTTGGTTGTTGTTTCGTTGTTGTTGTTTTTTGCTGTTGTAATTATTGTTGTTGCTATTGTTGTTCGTGGGTGGTTTGGGCGGTGCTCTAGTGTGGTTTGCTTCTTCTTTTCTATCAAACATCTAACGTCTTTATCTGCCCTCCCTTTTTTGTGTTTGTAACTCTCTTGTAACACCTCTAACCTTCGGCACTAATATGACCTTATTGTGTTACAAGTGCCGTAAAACTCTTATTAAAACAATATTTTTGCTGTTGTTATACATGCATTCGTTTGTTTAGAGGGATAGGGAATATGGGAAGGGGAGGCGGGGCTAGACCTTTGACTGTTTGATTTGAATTGATGAGGTTAAGAGTGGACGTGTAAAGAGCATCTTATACCCCCCCCCACCTTCCCAGGGATATATTGATTTCCAATGGGTGTACTTTTACCTGCCCAACGTCCTCTAGTTGGGGTCACAAATAGACCCATCATTCACAGGACGTGCAATCTTTTGTGATAGTGTAATAACCTGAACATCCACATACGTGTATATGTTTATGTATGACGTGTCATTTGGTGTTTGGTCATTGATTTCTTTTCTCCCTCTATGCTTACTCCTACCAGTCCAAAGTGTCTCTTTTACCCTTTTTAAAGCAGAACCCCCCCCCCCCAAAAAAAACAAAAACAACAACAACATTGTACCAACAAAATGCATATGCAAATTACAAAACGAAAGGAAGAAAAGACATTCTTTCACAGTTGACAATCTGACACAGTTTGAGAAGCCTGACAATGAACAAAGTCAGTGTACACTATAAGTGCCTGTAACACTCACCTACGCGTTCTGGCCTATGAGGCCGTTTCATAGATTCTTCATAATTTATGGCATGTTAAGCAATTCACCAGACTAAATCCGTTGTTCTTTTGTTCCACAATGGACTATCGATTTTGTATTGGCCCTGTTCTGCTGCTAAGAAACTCCCAAACGCTGCCCAGAAAATATCATGCATTATTGACCACTCGGTAGAAGTGTGCGGTGCTCGCGGTGTTGTCCCCGAACTTGGTCGGCTTGGCTAACAATAGCAAGGAGTTATTATTTAGGCCCGTTTGTTCTCGGTTTGAATGTTGCTGGTTATTGATGTCTCTTGGTCTGCTGTTGTTGTTGTTGTTGTTGTTGTTCTTCTTCTTCTTCTTCTTCTTCTTCTTCTTCTTCTTCTTCTTCTTCTTCTTCTTCTTCTTCTTCTCCTCCTCCTTCTCCTCCTCCTCCTCCT